GCCAACATTTCGTAAAGGTATCAAGCCAACATTACGTAGAAGTAACTTGTCAGCATTATCTATAAGTATAGCATACCTGTGATAAAACGCAGAAACTTTCACTTTTAACAATGGTAGAAGATAAACCGAAACCAAAACTGAAACTAGCAATTACCGGTTTTATGATAACATCTCATGCCAACATTACGTAAGATCAAGCCAACATTATTTTTTGATAACGCTGTAGGCGTAAATTGTTATTGCGGAAGATAAAAATGTAGATCAAATCTGCTAGTTTTTTCATACCCCGTGATATATTACAGTTTCAAGGCTATTTTTAAATGAACGGTTTATTTACGCGCGAGAATACTTTTTAGTTTCGGTTTCGGTTTTGGTTTGCTGCCTGAGTTTCGCGTACTTTTAATGAATATTCCTGTATTTTATTTACGTATATTTAGTATTTTTAAAATTCGAATTCTTAGCAATAACAAATACTATAAACGCAGAAGCAAGATGCATTTAATTATGATCAATGGGATAAATTTTATCGAAAAATTGACTTCAAAATGGTAAATGATTCGTGTCTCTTCGGACGATCGAGAGATGCTTGATTGATTTAATTATTTTTATAACAATAATTCGCTTTTCATATCCCTAACTTATCTAAATACAATCGATCCCCCCCTGTAACACTGTTGATTATTCCATTTTATACGAATTCCATGTTGTACGAGTCACTTAGATTTTACAAATACGTGTGCCGGGCTGTAAACGGCCCACGTATTTGTAAAATCTAAGTGACTCGTACAACATGGATTTTATATAAAGTGGAATAATCAACAGTGTTATAGGGGGATCGACTGTCTCAATTCAATTAATAACTTCTATTACCTCAAAACATACAATGTATATTGATAAGTAAACGCGGAACTTTGGAAAAAATATACTGATACCAATCAGAAACTTTCTCCAAATTACCCCGAAGGCCACTGAAGACCTATAAATAAAGTTTTCTACTCCGACTTCCTCACTACACAAGTTGTAATTGCTGTTGTTATTATCGTCATATTGTTTATTACTTACACTTAAGCCGTGTATATTGCGAGGTGAGGTATTTTTCTTTATGCTTTTAGTATTTTCTTTTGTATCCTTAAACTTTCAACTCTTTAATGTAAATATTTATTTTACGTACGCATAATTTTAATTATATTGAGTAATGTACTGTATGTGAGATCCGAATAGCCCCGGGTCTAAAATAATAATTTAAAATTAAAGTAAAATCTTTACAGAAGAATATTCTTTCATTTTGATGAAAAAAATAACGTTTTCTAGCGTGGGAAAACATAAGAGAGTCACTTCCTTTGACGGAAGTATGAGCATCCTCTGTTTTTTCCTTATCTGTTAGAAATCTCGCTTCGATGAGAACTGTCTACCTCCTCATTTATTTAAAACCCCTTCCCATCCGTTCACGTGGATGGAGCCTCCAATGATAATTGGTCGTAAATCCGAAGATATAGGCGTAGTTCAGCACATAGGCGTAGGACATAACACATATGCCAGCAGACAAACGCCATAGTCGTCCCCTATCAAGTTAATCCTAAGTTATCAAGGAAGTACCTTCGATACATAAGAAGACTACAAAAGCTCCTTTAACAGGTTGTATGTTATTTAAGGAATTGTGAGCTCTCTCTCTCTCTCTCGTAAATGTATAGGTTAAGAATATTTTCCGATTTCCTATTAATTAAATAGGAAAGCCATTCTTGTAGACGACCGAGAGCTATTCTCACGGAATAGATTGCCTATTAAGTGATACAGGAGTAACAAACTTCCCTGTATCCCAGGCTGAATCTCACATGTATATCTTTACCGAGTAGTTTCTGTATAATTTGTCTAT